TATGTAACGCACCATCTCAAGTGAAAACTCTTTGAACTTAAAACTTGTATGGACTCATATTATCTTGTACTTACTTTTTATTAAATAAATAGGGATGATACAATTCAAACTCGTGATTGCTTGATTATTAAAACTCTGGTTTCATGTCAAAGAATCAATTCAACCCAAAAGTTTAAGTTATTAGGTGAGATCTCAATATATAATTTATATTATTCTGTAACATGTCTGCTCAAGTGAAAGCTCTTTGAGTTTGAAACTTGCAAATGCTTATATTATCTTGTGCTTACTTTTTATTAAATAAATAGGGATAGTGAAATTCGACTGATAATCACTTGATTATCAAGGCTTTAATACCATATTGAAAAACCAATTCAACTTAAAAACTTAAACTTTTAGATGAGATTTCAATATATGATTTATATTATTTTTTAATAGATATTAGTAGTTTTTTAAAAGAGAAAAGGTATTTATGTGTTGTTTTTCTTCAATTTAGAGAGTTTGAATTTTAATTTATATTGTATTTTTAAAGTGTGATTTTTAATCATGTTGTGCTTTTTAATAACGATATTTACTAAATATTTTACTTTTAGAACATTAAATAATTGAAAATTTTTAAAACAGTATTATTCTGTAAAAATTATACATTTATTAAGCTATTTTTTTGAAGAAAAAAATCCTAAAAATAATCCAATCATGTCTGCAAGCATGATAGATTTAGTTTACGAAATCCAGACGATTCGAATCCGTAAGAACTGACATGATTTCGATTGATAATAACATATTATTACATCATAAATCAAACAGTTTGAGCATTGAGATTTGCATGGCTGTGATCCTCTGGTTCTTGTCCAAAATATATACAGCCAGAAGTGTTCGATGTCTAGCACATGTCCCGTGCCTGACCTGACACTGCGTGCATGTTTCCCTTTCAAAATCTTTCTTTCTTTCTTTTTTCTGCTTGTCTGCTTGCTTGCGCTGGTCCTCACCTTCCAAATTATGAGTTGGTAATGCATATCTCCTTTACTATTTATATCATACACTAAAAGTGAGACCCACTTTCGGATAATGTAATGCTTTACATGCAGCAGTAAGGTATTACTATTTATATCATATACTAAAATAATATTCATATTAATGGTACTATCAAAGAATTAACGATATTGTTAAGCACATGCATG